GTAATGGACATCCTAAATAATCCTCGATCGAAATATAGCTCCGTATCTTTCACAACCGAAGCGGTTTCTCTCATAAGTGGACTAATCGTTTTGGACTATTCGCACGCGTACGTACATTGTATACACATTTTATGCAAAGAGACAGTTCGCACAGCCTACGCTTAGACATGAATTATCGTTGTTTACGTATAAACGCCCAACATTGATATCGTTGCAACAATCGCGAAACGATACTCGTCGGCGGGAGAGACGGCGTAGGTGTTAATAAACGTTTCTCTCTCGCTTTTATCCGCTTTTAAACACTGGCGCGCGCGATGACGCGCTTAATTGCGGCGGGTCCATTATTCGAATTATTCACATTGTCACATTAAGGCCGCCGGACAATTACGAGGTGATATATTAATATCGCCGCGCCATCGCTCATCGGCTTCCAATCTGGAAGCCAATCTGTTCCTCGCGTTTTACCGGCCGATCCCAGGCTCCCTGGACATTTTTCCGGCATTACCCATCACCGTCGTCCGTTTTCCTCCATGTGGACGTCCACTTTCAACGATAGCCGACGAATCACCGTCGGTGTTGCCTCCAGAATTGCCTACAGCGTGATTCACACACGTTCGCTTTTCCCCGGTCCCCGGCTGTCAGACTCGCGCGTCTACCCGCGTCATCCTTCGTGGAAGAAGCCACCCGGAACCGGTGCCGGGTTTATTTATTCTCCACGGCGCCGATTTTCACGTTAATTTAACCGCGTTACTTTCGTTTCGTAACTTTTCCCATTACGGGGCTGGTAAACAGCGGCCGCAGTTAACCGAGGTTTATCGTATTTCTTCCGTCTAATTCCGCCCGCGAGAGGAGACAGAGAGTAGGCCGAGAGCTCGGTTAACTTTAAAATAATGTTTGTGGAAGCGGCCGTTCATCTTGTAACACATCGCAGCACATTGTTTCCTCCTGTAGATCACGACGTATGTCGGGACTTTGTGATCATCTTTACGACACGAGACCGATCAATTAAGAAATGAATCGGAAAAAATGGAATAGCTCGCATCTGTTATTTAATGTTTCTTCCTTGGATTTTCCGTATCGTATCTTCGTCTAAAAACGAAACAATATCTTTTTTTTACATTTTGCATGCAATTTCAATATAATACATAACATTTCGCGATAACGTTTTAACAACGTGTCGTCTGAAAGTTAAATTATAATTTCCAAAATGATTATTCCTAATGTGTAGTTATACATTGGAAATATTTTAGAGAATTTAAGATGTTATTAAATTTCTGTATAGCTATTGGCATACATTTTATCGAGAAGTAAATTCCGCTTTGAGGAATCTCAATTAAGGAGCGATCGCCTTCGTGTGCCCTCGAAATTCGATAATTTTTCTTCCTTGACATCGTTGCGAAGCGTCACGCTCGCGTTAACGGAACTCAAAGTTCAAACGACTCATTCGCGCAAAATTGCGTTTTAACGAACGTGAACGCTTTTCACTCGAAATTCCATCGCGAACTGTGAAACACGTGGAACGGAAACGCCTTTATTCCCTTTTCCCAGGCAGGACCGTTCGTTCGGAGGTCCTCGAAAACCGGTCTCGGTACACTCTCGGGTGTCATCGACCCTGCCCAACATTCCTGTTTATACCTCGTCGGCTCCCGACGTGCCGGGAGGCTTCTAAGCAAATCGGCAGCTGGTGCGATCGCGACGTTGCGTTACATCTCACGAAGCCGACATCTTTCACCGCAAACGGATACGAGCAATCTCCAAATAGTACGCGATGGTATGCTGTTAATAGAGCTCTCTCGCTGGCTGGGGGTACGGGATTCCGACATGGATCGATCCGTCCGACGGGACGGAGATTAGCGAGAGGCGAACACACGTTACGGCGTTGCTCCGCCGTAAAAGGCAAAAATCTTTCTCGGAACTACATGTAAATCGTGCGCGCGAGCGCACGAACGGTGACTCGAGCGCGATCATCCTGGATACTCGATTATATCCACGGGAGAAATAATAATCGCGTATAGTTATCGCGACTGTTTAATACGCAACTAACCCCCTCCCCCCTCCCCCTCCCCAAGCCGTGCACGATTGCTCAGAATTAAATTTACATGTAATGACCTCACGTATATGGACTATCGAAGTCCGTGCGGTATCTCTCCGTGAATCACCTTCCACGCCGATCAAACGCGACGCGATGCGTCACTCGCGGTGTTTAGTTACACCGCGCGCGCGAGGCGCGTCTCGCCCCTCTCGTATTTTCTATTATGGGGACATCGCGCTGGGGCTTTTTTACGGCGCCTCGGCGGGAGGGAAAAGGAGGTTTTTGTCGGGATTTTCTTTTCGTTTGGCGCCGGTGGGTAACGAGTACCGAGAGAATGCGGGACGACGACCGTAAAAGGTATCCATCGGAGACCTGCCGGCCTCTCCGTTACCGGTCTTTCTCGATCGTCTCACCGTCTCGCGTGCTCGAACGCGCGGCGTCTTTAAGACACCGCGCGCGAGTAAGCGGGTTAAGGACGCTCGTCCTTATAAGGACGCGTCTTTGCCTTTTTTGCGGACGCCACCCCGCGAAGCGCCGCGGCCCATCCCCCCCCCTCTCTCTCGTTCCTTTTTTTTCTCCTTCGCCCCGCTGATTGGGCATCTGGCCGTCTCAGACGCGCGCCC